CTGAAACTTTTTGAGCACCACCTAGGGCCGCCTTTAAGTAAGCCCAAGCGAAGAAAACACTCACGTCGCTACTCACGTACGAACACGTGGAATTTGGCGTAACTCCGTAACCGAAGCATCCAGAGCACCGAATTTTTTGGGCATGGATTGGGAGTCATTGTAATAATTTCTAACAGTCATGGTGGCCAGTCACAATTCTTTTAGCTAGAAGCATCTGCCAGGAAGAACATGCCACTGGCGAAAAAAACCTGCGGGGGGAAGCGAAAAACGCATCCTCGTACCGGCAGCCGGTACGCTTTCGACTAGGTTTTTTTTTTTTGGGAAAAGACGACATTAATGATACTCCATTTTTTTTTTGGAGGAAAGACACATTAAAATTGATATCTGGACGATTTTCGAGAGGCGAGAATGTGTGTCTAAATGTGTGTTTAAAAATATTTTAGAATGTGTGTTTAAAAATATTTTATCACCTAGTGTTTGAAAATATTTTAATTGTAAATCAAAAAATTTTTGTACAGGAATTTCCAAATTAGGAGAGTAGGCATTGAATTCCAGGGGCATGTAAACCACTGCCTAGCAGTACATAATGGTCACAGGAAAATTGATCATTCGGTTTACTTCCGAAAGGATGGCGAACAATACGTCTGTGCTGTTTTATTGAAGGCAATTTGCGAAAAGATTAGGCCTGGCTTTATCGCTTCCTAGTTTCCGGTCGCATCGTAATAATATTGCTATTTTCTCACTGGTAATCTGGACAATCTTGATGACCCTGGTGAAATACAAATTGATATTTCATTAAAAATGAAACTTTTCAATTCGTAGTTAAATATTACCCGCTGGGCTGATCGATGGACTGATTTTTGTGCGCTTTTGCGTAAATCGGAAACACTTTATAGCGAGATCATATCTAAATATGAATATATTTGTGTGCTTTATCTGGATTACTTGAGATGAATAACTCGAATTCTATTTGCATGCAGTGTAACTACAAAATCATCATTCAGAAATCGACGTTTAGTCCACATTGTTTTCTGACCAAGGAGTTCGTCCCCAACATAAGTGTTTGTTGTACCACAAAAAAATAACAAAGTTACAGTTTTCTTGTGACTGTAATACCGCAAATTCAGGTCAGTTTTACTAACCTGAAAGCAGATCAGCCACTAGTTTCTAGAGTTTTTGTTGGTTTCATTTCACCGCTTCCGCTAAAAAATGACCTAAATCCGGGCTTCGAATTCATTCTGTCTCGGCTTGTAAGCTCTTGTCGTCAGTTACAGGTTGCTTTTCATAATTCATGGAAAAGCAAGCCAAGAATTGATTTTCCAATGTTTTCTTCTTTTATTTGTTCTAAATTTGGCTTCTGCCAATTGATTTCGATGCACTTTGGTCACAGAAGTGGCTTTTACGCGCCCACTTCTCTGATACAAGTCGTTTCCACATTAGTAATATAAAATAACAATTTTTATAATGTAGTGAAGTACATGAAGAAGTGTAAAAAAAGTGATGGAAAGAACAAATTTAGAACATCTTCAGGTACCGGTAAAAGTAGCACGAGAGATTGGTATCCGATTTCCGAACTTGCCGGGTTTTTCATCCAATATGGTTCGTCGTGAAGCACAACTGACGCCATCCAATCTGGCAGCTACTGGACCTGCTGGAACAGCAGTCACTACAACTGCAGCTGCTGTGACAATATCCGCGGCCGCCTCAGTATCTGTTGTTTCATCGTCTTCTTCGGTATCACCAACAACCACAGCTGCACTAACTTAGGGCAAGGCATTCTCATCCATGCGCTTTCACGATATGTCTAACATAAGGCGTCGTTTCTTTGTTTTGCCCATCCCCTGAAACCGTGGCACCACTTCGCGTTGGCAGCGGTAATGATAATCATATAATAATATCAGCAGTGGGGACATTATAAACAAAGGAGGTAATAGAGAAGGGCTACTAAAAATATTCATGCACAGCATGATTTTCAGAAGTCAAAAGCTAATGCGTAATGCACTGGATGATGTTGAGAAAGATTCTTGTAAAGTTTTTTCGCAGAGCGATATCAGCAGCATGTTCAGGAAGGAAGGAAGGCGATGATTGGAGGAAGACTGCCAAAATTTGAGTCAACTGACGTAAAATCTTGTCCGTTAAGGAAAAATTTTGTCAAACAGATTTTACACGGTGATCGGGTAATTTGGTGAGTGCATTCATTAGAAACGGCACCTGGGCATATTTGTTCTGTTAAAGATTTTTTATTCTTGTTTTAGGCGATGGTAGAATCATTGATATTATTGATAAAAAATAGCTTTATTGTTTGTTTTGTTGTCTTATTTAAGGAGAATCTTAAAAAAAAAAACAATCTTCCGTCCAAACTTCTTGCATCCAGGTATTGCTATTACTACTACTATCACTACTTCTTTTACTACCCTTATATTATTTGTCACGCATCTCATTTTCTTGTAAATCCATTGTTCGAAGAAAAATTTGCGGGAAATTTGATGATATACTGTTGACGAAGGGCACCAATCACGCTGGACAACAAAATGTTACGCAAAGTTTTTGCCTTCTGTATAAATGTAGACTTTTCACGCTCGTTGAACATTTGTGAAAACACATTGTTACGTTTGATCGTTGGGGATCAACAGCAGTGAAAATGCATAACAGCACTGGCAAACAAATAGTGGTGCGCACTGGATAATCGGTTCTTTTCATGCAGATGCGCATATTTTATATAAAAGAAGGCACCGTGGAGAATCGCGTCTGTTTGTCGGTCTGTTGGGCCACATAATTTAGCTTCGAAAGCAAGGAAGCTAAAACATTTTAAAGCATGACTAAAGACATGCACAGGACTATAAAATCAAAATCACGGCACTGGTTTATTCAGCGCTGTTTTTTCCAATGTTGTCGACAAGGTATGATCTAAACCTTTTCGAAGCAGCATTCATTATTTCCTTTCGTAACGACTGGCTCTCAGTATGATTCACAGTCGCTGTCCAAGGAGAAGTACTTATCAGTCAGACTAGCATCATTAGCCACATCAACAAAAACACTTCACAAGTCGCTGAAGATTGCACAAAACAGAAAGACAGATCTTCGAATTGGCAGTTAAGTTCACACGATGACGAAGACAGATATAACAAATAATTGGCCAACCCACGGGCTGCCCGTGCGAAGATGCGTTTTTTGCACAGTTCCCGCAGTTTCTTTCGTTTCCGCACCGGTTTTTCCGGAAAGTGCTTTTAACTAAACAAATTAAGACTGGCCGCCAGAACTGTTAGGGAACAGCCCGTTAAAATCTCAGCTTTCTAGCTTTCCTGGCTCCCAAGTTACCCGAAAAAAAACTTTCACAGGCCCGTACATGGGTGACCACGCATACCCGGTGTCTGGGTTTGAGCTCACTAACACATAATTAGATGGGGAACATTCCTTCAAAATTCCACTCTTCTAGCTTTTCAGGTTCTCGAGTTAGCAACTTACCCGAAAAAAAAATTCCACGGGCCCGCACGTGAGTGTCCTGCATACCTGAGAACTGGTTTTGAGCTCATTAATACCTGCGTGGACAGGAACGTCCCCTTAAAATTTCAGCTTTCCAGCGTTTCTGGTTTCCGAGTTAGCAGTTTGCCCTAAGAAACTTTGGCGAGCCCGTACACGGCTAGCACGCGGGTAAGACTGCCCATTTTGGGATGGCGGCTCGTACATGCATGTAGATTAAGTTCCCAAAGTTTCAACCCTGTAACTTTCGTGGGTCTCGAAATGAAAAATCGTACAGATGAACACACTGGCACACAGACACGGACAACCCCTGCATTGAACAGATGCAAAAAAACGCATAAAAACCAGCCCGGCACAAGTGTGTTCGAATTTCGGGTGACCCCACCGGGGTAAAGCCCTTCACAGTGAGTGGATTTCTAGTTGCTCGACGAATGTTATTTCAGAATCTTATTTTGAACGAGTGCACGACAGTTTTGGCAAGAAGTGCGGAGGTCCGAGTTGAAAGTTGAAGTCCAGGCCGCCGAAGCGATACCTTTCCAACAACAAACCAAGGCTCGCTGTTCTTGCTTTTTCTCCTGATTTATATATGCGAAATTTCAGCCTTCACTTATTCTGTTATGAGAATTCTAAATTTTTTGTAACGAACTGTCCCTTGTTTTTTCAAAAATTTTGACAGAGGAAAAACATGCTTTTCGAATTTTATCAGTCAAGCAGCAGCCAGGATATTCTCATTAAAAAAAAAAAAAACTGAAGAAAAAATAGCACAGAAATAATTCACACATTTTAAGCGCCAACACACAACGAGAAAAGTCATGTTAGCATGAACCTGTGCCAAGTTCGACAAGGATGCCAAACATGCGAGGGACTGATGGAGAACATATTTCTGTCTGAATTTTACTACTGGACAAACTGCATCGTTTTTTCCAAACGGTTCGAAAAATGCAGTTTTTACAATAATTCTTACTTCCCCACCATGTGAGCAGTATGCTCCCCAGCCTACTCCATCACGCGTTCTTAAGTTTGCTCAAAAGGGTGTTTCGTGTATTGCTCCGTGTACTAAACCAAAGACTACTTCAATTTTTGGGACTAAAGACTGAGCAACAATTTCCCAGGCTTGAAATATTCGGCGCATTTTTGCAAAACAATGAATACGATAAAAAATCATTGGCGACGCGAGCCAAGCAGACCGGTGCGAGCAAGCGTTTTTGCACTCTTTCGTGCTCCAGTAAGATCGCTTGGAATCCCAGCAGCTAGAATTCGTGATATATTGGTTCTCGAAGTTCAGGAAGTTAATTGTGCAGCTATGTGGTAAGTTCAGTGACCCAACAAACAGAATGGTGCTGGTGCGGAAAAGGACCCCACGAGGAGTATCAATAACTCCTTATAAGCACTGCTTTTGCTGCAGCGGAAGCGCATATCGCTAATTTTATGGTATAATGCAAAATTTCATAATCATTAGAAGCATAGCCTTTACGCACAGTATGAAGTGCAGGAGCCTCTAATGAAATCTGCCTTGCTAGCTGAACCGACAGCTGAAATCACTGCAGCGTGCGTGCGAGAAATGTACATGAATGAGGACTAATTTTACATACTTTGGGCCACAATGGGACAAGTAACCACCACGTAAAAATTCAGAACCCCAACAAATTTTCAGAAGGAAAAAATCGCCCAAAGCAGGTTTTAAAATGTTACTTGCTGCGGGCAATCTTTCCCTCTCTGTATTCCAAGTACGAGACATAAGCCCCGGATGCCAGCTTTACGCACAGGAATTCATATATGAAAAACCGATATCTTCATAAAAGCATAACTGTTCAAGTAGTCCAAGTTGAAAGTTAACAGGATACCAGCAGTGCTACGGCAATTAAACTCGGCTCGGCCCGGTCGCCAATGAGAGACGCTTGTATGCTAATGCTATTTTGGGATGTCATTTGTCGGCACTGCTTGGCATGCCAACAAGCGCTGAGTATCGTTTCCCCAGCGCTACCCAGCCTTTCTTGGCTGCTTGATGTGGTTGGGGAGTAGTAGGTGGACAGCTGGGACGTAGCTGAGGAGTGATGGATAATGAGTGCTCAGATGCCGCCCCGGAGACAATTGGGAAAAGGATAGAGAGAAAAGCTTCCACATGCCTATGCGTAAGTATCACGCGTGTCCGAGTGCCGAGTTTGAAATTTTTACACTGTGCTTAAACGCGAGTATTCCGCTAAAATTTGAACTTTCCAGCACTTCCGTTTCTCGACAGTTTCCCCGCTTTTTCTTGGCAATTTCCCCGCTGAAAATTCCATGCACCAATGCGTGAGTACCACGGGTGCCTGCGTGCCAACCTTTCCAGCATTTTTGTTCCTCGAGTTAGCATTTTTACCGTCGAAACTGTCACGTGCCCGATTGTGAGTGCCACGCGCATTTAGGGATGAATTTGAAATAATGTTTAAATTATACGTGGGCAGGGAGCATTTTCTTAAAATTTTAGCTTTCTAGCTTTGCTGGTCCCTGAATAGTAATTTTCACGTCAAAATTTTCATGCGTCCCTAACGGGAACTCGGGCACACTAGAGAGCCGAATTTAAAATTCTTTGGTCGTACGTGAGTACGGGACATTGCCCTAGAGCTTCAGCTTTCCAGTTTTTCTCGCTCCCAAGTTAGTGATTTTCTCGCCAGAATTTTCACATGCCCTATGCGAGATGTAGACGTGCGTGATAGCTGACATCCCATCCCGGGATTGCATATGGCCTAAGAACACACTGGCAAAATCCCAGCATCAAAGCTTGCGTGGTACTGAGTAGAAATATCCAAACACGCACACAAACGCACACGCAGACAAGGTTGTGGCAACATGCGTTTTTGCTGCCTGTTGCAATGCTGTAGTTCTGCATGGCAAAAACGCATAATAACAGGTAAACATGAAAACATATATGGCGTAACAAACAGAGAAAAGCGAAGCAGTACACCTTCTTTGTTGCAGTGGGAGCCTCCAATGTTACCTGTTTCCGGAAAAAAAAGGGAAATTGCGTCACGTGACAGAAGTTTTGATCAGTGAGATGCGGAAGTTACAGAAAAATGCAAAACACTGCCAGAAGCATTAAAATTGGCCTAAAAGTACTAAACAACAATGGAAAGGAAATAAACGAGCAAGTAAAAGCTAAACCTAGCATAAATCAACAAAGAATGCCAATTTCAGCAGATGAAGCAAGAAAAAAGGGTGTCATTTTGGATAACGAATGTCATTACTAAACTGCACCTCTCACAAACAGTAGAAGACAAAACTTGCGCCAATGATCAACCCAGGCTTGG